CTCTGCATTTTGTATGATTCGGGGCAGATCATTTATGAATAATAAAAATAAAAGGGGTCCTAAAACAGAACCCTGAGGTACACCATGTTTAATAGCCTTAAGAGATGAGGTAAGTGTCTTTATCTTAAAGGTCTTTTGATCCATATGGTGAATTTCAACAAACTGGGTTCTGTCGGTGAGATACGATCTCATCCACGCGTGAGCTATTCCTCTCAGTCCATACAACTCCAGCTTTGCAAGCAGCAAGTTATGATTTATAACGTCAAAAGCTTTCGACAGATCCAAAAATATACCAAAAGCAAATTGTTTATTATCTAGGGTTTTTTGAATTTGTCCAATAAAAGTTTGAATTGCAGTAAATGTGGATTTATTCTTTCTGAAACCATTTTGAGCATTCGATATCAATTTGAATTTATTTAAAAAGTTTACAACTCTATTATACATTAGTGTTTCAAGGATTTTGGAAAATACAGTTGAATGTCCTGCCAGGAGAGTCTGTCAGAGAGTTTTAATTGTCTTGCCTTTCATAACCTTTTTCTGACCCCTGTGCTAATCAAGGATTCATTAGCAAACAAATATTTTATTTTTCATTCATAAAATTGTTACTTCTCTACTACTGGTATTTGTAACACTACCTGACATTGTTGTCCCTTTCTAGAGGGGGGTTATTTGGGAACCTGCTGTAAATATTTATAAATTGGTCTGATGGGAAGGACACATGCTATTGGTGTCACCTTGCACCATATGCATTTGGCTTCACAGTGTGGTTTACAGGCCAGTAGCCTATACAGATTACAATTTCTGTTCAGTATTGCCCAAGCTTTTATGAAGTGAGTTTTAGCGGTAAATACAGGCTTATTAAACACTCAGCCACTCATGTTACTTTTTGTGTTGAATCTAAGACATACACATTGAAATGAGTGTTCATGTACAGTACCCATGTGAAAAGTAACAAAAATATTCTGGTGTTAATTTCAGGACATTACAGATTAAACAGAGAAAATTGTTCATACAGTCAAAAATAAATTTAGGCAGACGGGGTTATTACCGGACAAAAAAAGAACTGAATCAAAATGCTAAATGCTCAGCGAAGAAAAATGGGATGAAATTGGTGTCAGACTTGAACATTTCCCTTGGATGCTTTGTGCAGGAGTCCAGGGTTTAAAGTTCAGGTTTCAAGTTTAAAGTTTGCTCACTCATAGAACCTCCTCCATTGGGGCATGAACATTTAGAAAGATCATGTCACACCATCGACCTCTTAATATTATGTATGACATCCTATCACTAATTGACTCTACCATCTTAACTGCTGATATGATCAAATGTATGAAGCAGCCCGTACCTAATTCATGATTTTTATTCCCCTTTCCATAGAAATGCTGTTTTGGTGCCACCTCCGTCCCATCTGGCCTCCTGTACTCCCACTAAATCTGACTTATATTTTGAGATTTCTTCTGCCACTGCCCTGAATGAACCTGCCCTATACATACTTCTAACATTCCAAGTACATACCAAATCTCATACCCATTATCTCTCGCTTAGTCATTTATCCACAGAATCCGTCTAGGTTCAAGGCTTCTTGAACATTTTCATAACAAGCTTATTTTTTTGATGAGGAGTTGTTAGCCTCACGCCCAACCCCCAAGCTGGAGGACCGTCCTTTGTCAACTGTCTGCAACTGCTTATTCAGTATATTTGCAGCTACCCTCTGTACCCGGAGGGCATCTCCTCCATCCGCAACCTGAGGATGTGCCATGCCATGGTGACAAGGGACCCACCTAACATGGTTTAAAGTTTGCTCCATTTTCAAAAATGAACTTTAGTATGTGAGGATGAAGATTTGACAGAGGTGCAAGGAAATCCTGCATGACAACAGGAACCGTTCTTCCCATCTGGTATAAAGTGAGAAGGATTTTTGTGATTTGTTGACCCCTAGGTTTGTCAGTTGCACTGTAGGTCCAAATGGAAAATAATGATGCGAAGTGACTAATGGCATTAGGCATATATATATATGATGAGGTACCTAAAAGAAACCGAACTAATTTTTTTGTGGGCAGATCTTTTGTAGTACCGCGTTTTGCAGCTATGACCGCATAGAGCTAACATTCCTGAGTCGATAAGCCGACTACTGTTGCTTCAGAAGGTAAGGACTAGTTTTGGGAGAGTTTATAGTGACAACTGTTTTTTGTGATCGTCGTTTTTGCAATGGCTGATTTTCGTGAGCAGCGTGTGGCGGTGAAATTCTGCTTTTTGCTCGAGAAAAGTGGAACAGAAACTCTTGAAATGTTAAAAACGGCGTACAAGGACGGTGCTATGGGGAAAGCTCAAGTGTTTGAGTGGTTTTCCCGTTTCAAAAATGGTGAAATGTCAATTGATGACAAACCTCGTTCTGGTCGTCCTTCCACTGCCCGAACACATGAAAATGTTGAAAAAATTCGTGGAATCNTCGTGAAATCATCAAGGAAGATCGACGACAGACCATTGAAGAAATTGTGGAGCTGTCGGGAGTGACTTGGAGCTCAGTTCAGCGAATTTTGACAGAAGATTTGGGAATGAAAAGGGTGGCTGCGAAATTCATGCCACGACTGCTGACTGCTGAACAAAAACAAGTTCGTGTGGAAGCTTGCTGTGCTTTGAAAGAAGAGTCCTGAAATGATCAAAACTTTTTTTAAAAAATTATCACCGGTGACGAAACCAGGTGCTATGCTTACGATCCTGAATCAAAGCAACAGTCAAGCCAGTGGAAGACTTCAAGTTCGCCTCGCCCCAAGAAAGCTCGTCAGGTGAAATCAAACATGAAAACAATGCTGATTTGTTTTTTTTTGATGTGAGAGGAGTCGTCCATTCACAGTTTGTTCCACAGGGTCAGACAGTTAACCAGGCTTTCTACTTGGAAGTTTTGAAAAGATTGCGCAACAGTTTGTGGCGGAAGCGGCCAGATTTGTGGCAGTCGGGTGACTGGTTTTTCCATCATGACAATGCCCCTGCTCACACAGCCCTGTCTGTACGACAATTCTTGACCAAAAATGGTATGACCCCTGTTCCTCACCCTCCATACTCACCCGACCTTGCCCCGTGCAACTTTTTTTTGTTTCCTCGAATGAAAAGAGACATGAAAGGAAAAAACGACGGAGGCGCTGTCAAGCATCTCAAAAGATGAATTTAGACAATGTTTTGAAAAATTGAATAAAAGACTAGACAAGTGTATTAGTGTAAGTAGAGAATACTTTGAAGGGGATTGAAGGTTTGTGCTTAAAATTTGAATAAATAAGTTTAAAAAAAAAGTTCGGTTTCTTTTGGGTACCCCCTCGTACACATATACTTTGAATGACAGTATTATTTTGTTGCAGAATATGCTGGAAGTTAACATAAGGCATATACAGGTAGCATTTACTCAGAAATATCTTATGCCAGTCACTACACTACCAAGCTATTATACTGTCATCAATGCTGTATCATCTCATTACTGACAGCACCATTAGCTAACAAACTAAAAAAAAACTGTTCTATAGGCTTGGGTAGCCAGTCACGGTAGCCGAAAGGTCTAAGGCATGCACTGTCTTCGCTCGCTCGGAAGCCGGGATCATGGGTTTGAATCCCACTCAGGTCATGGATGTTTGTGTGCGTTTTTCTGTGTTTGTCTACAGGTAGAGGCCTTGCGACGAGCCGATCACTTGCCCAAGGAGTCCTACCATATGTCCTACCATCCTTTCAAGTCAACCTACCATATGTGTTAGATCTAGAAAAACCGAAGTGAATGGAGAAGTTCATGGAGGTAGGCCTACGCCCACTTGGGCTGTAGTGTCAAGGGGGGGGGAAGAGGCTTGGGTGCATGTTTACCATTTCTTCCTCATTCTTTTTTCCAAGAGTACGCTTTCAGGCCTGTTATACCTTGATTGAATCCATTATGTTATCTACCAGTGTCTCTTCTTCCTCTTGGAGTGTTGTTCAAAATATGTTAGATTTGAGGTTCTCTGAGCAGTGACTATGAGGAGGACTATCCTCTTGAATGTAATGCAGTGTAGTCTGTTTTCCAGAAAATGGTCTTCTCCCACAGTACACAGCATTGCATTCTGGGACGTAGTACTCTTCATACTTCAGAATAGATCTTGATAATCATTTCTAATTGATATAATTGAAATTTATTTCAGATGATGTTATTTGTTTGCAAACGCTGAGCTTCGGGTCTGGCTTCTGTCTGTGTGCACGTCTCTGCTTCCTGCCTGGAACAGACATTGTGCTGTTGTCATGTGCTGCAGATGATGCAAAAATCCATTTATTTGCTGAGAGCATAAGCAATGCCATACAGGGACCTTTGAAGGAATATGCCAAGCAGTTTGTCAGAGTGGACAGCTTGGTTGGTCATGAGGACTGGATTAGGGCTATGGATTTTACTTTGGATGGTAATTATTTGCAGTTTGAAATTTTTTTCTCATGATAATTTAAATTGAATCGATAAGTTTTTACAGCCCAGCACAGAGATGCATGTTCTGTGTGTTTAAGAATATATGACATATTGAAAAGTGTATTAATTCTGCAACACGGCAGTCAGGGAAGAAATGTTCTCTCACCAATCTTGTTTAATAATGTCATTATGGGTAAAATTGCCAATAAAGTTAAGAGGAGGGAACAAAGAGACAAGACATGAGAACTTTAATACTGGGATGCTATGTATTGATTTGGGAAATAAATTTTAGGGGTGGTGGGGGTGGGAACAATGATGAGGTCAGTAAGAAGTACAAAATACTTATCACTTTTATCAGGTTACAAAAAGAAGATTCCAGACAGTGTAAAACAGAAATCTGTGAAGTATATTTAAACTGATACTAACATACTCATATTGGTACAATAGGCCAGAAGTGGCCGCAGCACAAGGGACTTAGTCCCACCCCACTAGCAACATACTCGTATAACACTGAAACAATGATCTTTACAAGGAGAAACAAAAACAGAATCCAAGCAACATATATCAAACTTTTGAGAAGTTAAAAAAAAAGGGCAAAGCTGTCCCTATGTTTAATTAGTTAAGCACTGTGCCATGAAGACTTATAGGGAAAGGACGTATAGCTTGACCTTTCTTGACCTTTGCATTCCCTGGTAAATGAGCCCCTGGTACCGATTGGATAGGAGGCTGAGTAGGCCCCAGAGCTGCTTTAGATGCTTTGGAGAAGAGAAGAATATGGCACTGCTGGGAGTCAAACCTGGGCTGTTCAGCCCATAGCCTGTCTCTATACCAGCTGAGCTCTCTCCACTGGCCCAGGTTTGATTTGCGGCAGTAGAAGATTTTTCTCTTCTCCACAGTGTCCACACCAGCCCTGGAGCCCACCCAGCCTTGTATCCAATGGCTAATGAGAGTTCTTTCCTTGGGAGTAGAGCGGTCTTGGGAGGGGGAAGGGGGGGAGGTGAAGCTGACCCCACTCCTTCAACTAGTGCCAAGGTAAGAATACGTTGATCTATACATTCACTCCCCCATATGATTTCATGGTGTAGTGTTTAATTAATTAAGCACAGGGACAACTTTTGAGAAGTACTGAGAGAAAAACAAGAAGGAATGCAATTAGAGATGATTTAGAGATAATTTTGAACTTTAAAAAAATTTTAAAAGAATCAGATGTAATCAGTTAGAATGACTTGATCATGTGAAAACAGTGGATAGAACAAGGATATGAAGAAGGGCATTAGAAATAAATTTAAAGAAAGAGAACTGTGGGCTGATCCAGAACAAAATGGGTCAGTTAGGCACTGTAATGTATCAAAGAAAGAGTAAATATGTAAGATTTGAGGCTTTCACGGCAGTGACTATGAAGAAAGCAGTCTTCTGGGATTTGGCACCATGTATATGTGGTGTTAACCGACGTTTTGGAGGAATGTATCGCCTCCATCTTCAACCCCCACTGGGATATGACGCCAGATCCAGNCTCTTCGCTTGCAGATTTCTTATATTTTTTCTTCTACCCTGAAGATGGAGGCGATACGTTCCTCCGAAACGTCGGTTAACACCACATATACACGGTGCCAAATCCCAGAAGACTGCTTTCTTCAAAGAGTAAATAGCTTGTAAGAAATTGAGAAGGAAAAACTATGGAAAGAAGAAAGAGCTGGAGACTTCTTGACATTCCTATAAAATGGAAATGATGCCAGGAGGAGGAGGAAGAGGAAGAGGAAAGAGAAGTAGCAATGGTTGTGTACCACTGAATACTTTTTCAATAATACAAGCAAGCCAGAATTAAACAGGTGTACGATTTGCCAAGCATTGTCCCAAACTTTGGATTTATTCTTTTCTGTGTATTCTGAATAAACTTAGTACCAAAGTAACTTTATGCATGTCTGATGGTCAAAACTTCTTATATGGTTTGAAAATATGAAAATGTGAAGTAGTTCATGTACTTCATTATGCACCATGCTGTGAAGACATTCTTAACCTTGGTACTAGATAGAGGTAAGTGGACAACTCCATGCTTCAGCTGCTTTTTCGTAGGTCAAGGGCTCCAGTACCCATTGGGTAGATGGCTGGTTGAGCTCAGGATCTAGTGTGGACATGGTAACAGAGAGAAAAGTGTCTGCCCTTGCAGGGATCTTAATTCCTGTCATCTAGTCAGTGGTCAGTCAGCGTTATGTCTAACCTGGTGCTGCATTCCTATTAAATTTTTGCTTGGGAACTGCTGCTGTAGAACATGAAATATTTACCTGATTGGAGTCTAAATATTTTGTTGGAACATCCTTTTGTCATGATGGATGTTTAGTGAGCTCAGAAAGCTATATACAGAGTGGTCCAAAAAAATGTACTCATTCTTTGATAGTCAGTATCTTTGGAACAAAATGACATGTAGTTACAATTCTTGCACGGAGAGAGAGAAGGGGGGGGAGAGAGAGAGAGAGTCATTATATGTGTTCCAAGTGACTACCATCAGTGGCTAAACAGCATTGATGCCACCAAATTGCTGAACGAACTATGGCTGTCAGTGTGTCTGGTGTGATGGCTGCACACGATGCTTCGATGGTTTCTCGTAGCACGTTCAGTGTAGCTGGCTTTTGTCAATAAACTTCATCCTTCAAGGTTCCCCATAGGTAGAAGTCAAGAGGTGTTAGGTCTGGAGACCGTGGTGGGTACTCAGTAGCACCTCTTTGACCTATCCATCGTCCAGGTAGAGTGTCATCCAAGTACGCCCTGACGTCTCGATGGCAGTGAGGTGGAGCATCATCTTGTTGTAGGTAAAATCTCTCATCTCCAAACAGCTCTTGAATGGCAGGGAAAATCGATGTCTGAAGCATATTGAGATACACCACAGCACTGGAAGCTGGATTTGTTACTATCCATGGTCGCCCAGATCTTTGCTTATGCACATCATGAACAGTACTGTCGGCTTCAAATTTATCCCAAATAAGGGCAATTGTTCAACGTGTTGGTGGCTGAGTTCCAAACTCAATCTTCCATTGTCGTTGTACCTCTTTAATGTTTTCATACTTCCAGTACCACTTGAATACAGCCTTGCGTTGCTCAAAGAACAACCTTTCAGCCATTGTTGCTGCTGCCTTCTGCTTGCAGCACGCACATGGTACAACACTCACGTGACTCATATGACCTTCTTCATATGTTGAGAAAACATTACACTACACTACCGCGCAAGAATTGTAACTGCATGTCATTTTGTTCCAAAGATATTGACTATCAAAGAGTGAGTACATTTTTTAAACCCCCATGTATATGGTCTATAAAGGGGTTGTTCCATGTACTCGTGTAAGGTGTAACATTTAATTTTGTTTCTATCTCAGGACAGTGACTCATAATAAGTATCATAATAGGTCATTTAGAGTGGAAATATTACTGGTCAGAAAACTGGAAAGAAAGAAACCACATTTGAAATCTGTGTGTACGAGTATATGCAAGGATAATAGTAGGAAGAATCATAACAGTTGCTGGTTTACCTTCCAGCCTGGCCATTTATAGCAGTACACTAGCAGTCTGCAGTGTTTCATGATAAAGGTGTAGGTTGCAGGTGATCTACATACATTGTAAGAGACAGCTACAAGCTTCATCTACAGACAGATGAGGCATACTTGCTAAGGTGTGTTCTGAAAGTTGAATCTTTTTTGGTCTTGTCACAGCAAGTTACTAACAAACCTTGGCTGGATGTGGCAGCCTGAACAAAGCAACAGCAGATGGCCAACCTCAGATATGGGACAGATATTTTAAGGAATTAGGGTAAGAAGGTGTGGACTGGATCATCTGACTTAGGGTAGGGTGTTGTGGTGGGCTATTGTGATTACAGGAATGAATGTTTGTGTTGCATAAAATACCAGACATTAATTACTTGAGTGACTTTCATCATCTCAGAATCACTTTTTCCATGGAGTTCCTATTTGAGTGGAAAATTTCACATACACATACAAAGAGATTAAATATAGTAGGCAATCCTTACTGTTTGTGAATATGCATAAAATAGGCAATAGTTACTGTGATTAGCTAAAAATACTTCCCATAAGAGCAAACTATGCCTTTTGGAGTTAATAATTTTATAGTCCTCCATATCCTCACTTTTGGAAATCTCATCAGTTGATGGCAGTTTGACGCTGATCATTCTGAGCCCTTATTTATTTTGATGATTATAGATGACCATGAATTTTTATTTCTAATTAATTCTCGGTAATTTAAATTTCAAAAGTCTTATGTTTCGATATTACTGGAAATGTATCATGATCTATAATATCGTATTTCATCGTCTGGGACGTGCAATATGATGTTTACGTTGAAAATTTCTAGATTCTGGCAGAAACAAGAAGTCCGGAGTTATGACATTTACGATCAGTCATAAATTTAGCTCGGGTACAGGGAACCGGACGCGCCTAAAAGGACAGGTCAGAGCTTGTTACAATTGCCTGTGAATGAGGGCCAGTATGATTGAGTTGCCTCGTTCAAGCTTCCCACGGAAGATGGGATGAAATGTATATGTCAACACCATCTTTCGAATTCCCGGCGTGGGGGTGCAAGCCATTCCACAAAAGGAGACTTTCACAATATTCCGAACTGAACGGACGTGACCCTTGCACGCTCCGGGACATAGCTAGCCGATAGTGTAACGCTGTAACTTAAAATCTAAGAATACATTAATTTAACAGTGTGGTGAATTAGCAGGTGAATAAACGTCAGTTGGCTCAACTCTCAGAAAAACGCTTTCTTCGGCATCGCTACCCTGAGACCCATGCAAACCGACCCAGCTAGTTTCCCATACCTATACCGATCTTCCTTAGTCTGATCTGTGAGGACAACTTCCAGTAGCCATCATACACTGTCCTAAGGTAGAAACAGGTGTAGCAGGGATAGCACCATTCCGACTGCGCCGATACAAGCAAAGGCGGGTTGGAAAAGAGTGGTGTTAAGTTCAAATCTCAGAGAAATTTGAGATAAAAAGGACTTTGCACAGTAATAAATAATTATACATGATGTGTGTTACAGATGTATGTAACGAGCTCTTTGTCTGTGTGTCTTCTTGGGTATGGTGTTCTAACAGTCGTGCATTATTTTTTTTATAGATTCTGGCCATCTGCTACTTGCCAGCAGCTCGCAGGATTCTTTGATTCGTTTATGGCGAATAGCTCCATGTGGTGAGAAAACAGCTACAAGTACTAGGAAACGGATTGGTGAATTAGATTTAGAAGAAGACATCCAGCCTGATGAGAAGTTCTTCAGTGTCATTGTGCAAGATGATACAGCAGCATATTTTGCTGTTTCTCTGGACTCAGTGTTGGCTGGACATGAGGGCTGGGTATACGGAATAGACTGGCACCCACCAATTTACTCTGGCAAGTTACAGAGGACCACTAAGAGTACTATGTAGTTTTGTGGAGTACAAGAATATTAATGGGGCGCCGGGTTAGTGTAGTCAGTATAGTGACTGACTACAGGCTGGATGACTGAGAGGTCAGAGTTCAAGTCTAGGTACAGCCAAGAATTTTCTCTTCTCCATGTCTTCCAGACCGGCTCTGGGGTCCACCCAGCCTCCTATCCAGTGGGTACCAGGGGCTCTTTCCCTGGGGGTAAAGCATGCATTGTACTGAGCAGTACAACACATGCAGTAACAGGAGCAAAACACAGCACAGAACACAATACACAAATATGTGTAGGAAGAATGCTCACATAAAAGAGGATTGGCATAATTCATGTGTTTGAGTGCGACTTAGGAAGAGTCCTGAAAAGTTTTATTATTTAGAATTCATCATCCTATATGACGAATACAGATTTTAGTCATTTTAGAATGAAGACATTATGGCATGCAGTACAATAGTTTAACGTGCATAAAGACACCTGAAGATGGCACATTAGTGCTGAAACATGTAGTGTGGAAGTGAAGAATAAGGTGAAAAAATGTATACCCTGTAAGACGGTCAGCATAAACCATGGATATGAATCAGTGTAACAGGATGCTAAAATATAACAATGTATTGTGTAGCCACATATCATCCTTGTGATATTCTCATGTTGCCACTGCAAATGCCAGGCTTGAGAATTACATCTTGTTGCAGCAGTTCCTTCACTGTGAGAGTAAATTGAACATGTTTTCTAAAGGACTGGCCATATTAACACATTACTGCTAGGTATGAGGTCTAGGGAGCTATTTGAGTGTGAAAGTGGAGTAGATTGTACTAGTGGCACCCTCTCACAGACTAATCTTAGCATTAGACAAGAATAGACACCTCATATGCTAAAACAGTTAGTCGCTGCAGTTTTTCCCACAGGTATTGCCATCATTAATGACTGGTTCTGTATTCAGTCTATACAGGTGTTGTCTGTGGTTGTGCTGAGATTTAATTTCATAATTTTGATAAGAGCTTAAAATAAGTTTTGTTGTATTTTGTTAAATTACAGCAAACCAAAGGATGTTTAAAATCGTAAATGTATATCTAAGGAATATCTGTGCTGTATTTATGGTATCGTTGAGAAGCTAGTAAATTCTGTTATGGTGTAGAGAATGCAGAAAAGTGTCATAACTTGAATTTGTTTATTTGTTGTTGTATTTCTGTGAACAGAAGACAAGAAGAGGTGTACACAACCCATGAAACTTCTTTCTTCATCTCTGGATAAGTCAATAATCATCTGGGAGCCAGATGCCTCATCAGGAGTTTGGTTGGAATCTGTCAGAGTTGGTGAGATTGGAGGCAACACCCTTGGATTTTATGGTAGTAAATTTAGCCCTGATGGCCAAAGCATTATAGGTCATGGCTATCAAGGATCATTCCATCTGTGGACCTATTCTGATGTAAGTAATACTCGGGAATTAACCCTTTGGCGCGGTTATTTAAATTCCATGGCCGCGTCTCCAGCGGTAATATATTCAGGCGGCCATTTAAATTTTGCTCGAAAATGATTTATTCATCATTGTTCTTAAATTCTATGAGATAGGAACATGAAACTTTCACTAAAATGATCTTAAAAGGTGGTTTTATAACCTTACCTTATAATATGAGCGCCCTGTATCTCGGGAATGGAAGCAGGTTGTTTAGTATCTGAGCAGTGAATGGTACGCCTTGAAGGATGAAACTTTCACTAATTTGATCTTAAAAGATGGTTTTTATAACCTTACCTTATAATATGAGCGCCCGTTATCTCGGCAATGGAAGCAGTTGATTTAGTAGAATTTGAGCTGTGTAAGGAAGGCCTTGAAGCATTCGTATAACCCAACGGTGCCCC